GCAAAGCGATTCCACGTCAGTCCATCAGTCTAGACTACTACTGCTGCTGCTGCTACTGCCTTCCGCATGTCTGTGTGTGGATAATATATCACTCCGTGTTTCTCTACCCAAGCCTCTTGTCACACAAGCCAACTACAGGGTACTGCATCTGAGAGACCTCGCTGGTACGCCCGATCAGGTTGTGAGCCCCGTGCGGTGAGGGAACTACGACGAGTCAAATGGCGTCCGCGCCGCAACCTTCTATCTATCTGCAACGAGGATATGTGCCGTTCAGTGGGAATGCGGCCGAATTCCCGGGCTGGGTGAAAAGAGATCCTTACTGTCTGAGGCTGGCTTGCATAAGATTCTGTCTGGAGCGGNTCTGAGAGACCTCGCTGGTACGCCCGATCAGGTTGTGAGCCCCGTGCGGTGAGGGAACTACGACGAGTCAAATGGCGTCCGCGCCGCAACCTTCTATCTATCTGCAACGAGGATATGTGCCGTTCAGTGGGAATGCGGCCGAATTCCCGGGCTGGGTGAAAAGAGATCCTTACTGTCTGAGGCTGGCTTGCATAAGATTCTGTCTGGAGCGGAGACGGCTCCCGATCCTCTGGAGGAGGGAGAGATCTCTGCAGCTACTTCCGCGCACGAGACAGCCGTCCTCAAACTCCAAGAGAAGAACGGCAAGTTGTACACGCGGCTGCTGCTGGCTACGTCGGACGGCCCGGACGGATATTCCAGCCCAGCTTCGCAGGTAGGACAGCAGTACGGACCTGTCAGGGACGAGGAGTATGGTGACGGACGAGCTGCGTTCGTAGCTCTTGACAAGAAGTACCGTGTCGAAGGTGTCTGTAGCATGCAACAACTTCATGGCGAGTTTGCCTCCGTAGCGGTCACAGCAGCCGACAAGTTCGATCCGGCACGTGCGGTCCAAAAGTTGCGCCGCATCTGTCACGAGCTCGGTAAGCTAGGCGATAACGTTGTGNGACAGCAGTACGGACCTGTCAGGGACGAGGAGTATGGTGACGGACGAGCTGCGTTCGTAGCTCTTGACAAGAAGTACCGTGTCGAAGGTGTCTTTCGCATGCAACAACTTCATGGCGAGTTTGCCTCCGTAGCGGTCACAGCAGCCGACAAGTTCGATCCGGCACGTGCGGTCCAAAAGTTGCGCCGCATCTGTCACGAGCTCGGTAAGCTAGGCGATAACGTTGTGGAGGCAAGACAAGCAAATGCTCTTCTACGAGCCCTCCCTGACAAGCAGTATGGTTCACTCAAGACTGCGCTGCTATGCGAGAAGCCAAATCTCGGTGGTAGTGAGGGTCTTGGGTTCGATGCTATCGTGCAGCGTGCCACCGTTTTTCACGCCATGCNCGGTCGCGGCGGTCGCGGCGGTCGGCGGTCGCCGAGGAAATGGCGGCAAAACTGCGAACGGTTCGACCAGCTCGGACGGGAACAACAAACAGCAACAACGGCGGCGGAACCTCCGNCTCAGGCAGCCACGGCCGTGCGTTGAACACTGTCACGCACGGAGGCGCACGTGGTTTCCGCAAACGCGGCGGACGCGGCGGACGCGGCGGTCGCGGCGGTCGCCGCGGTCGGCGGTCGCCGAGGAAATGGCGGCAAAACTGCGAACGGTTCGACCAGCTCGGACGGGAACAACAAACAGCAACAACGGCGGCGGAACCTCCGGAGGAGCCCGCGCGGGAAATGCGCAGGGTGCACGCGGGAATGATCGCGGCAGCCAAGCCTCTGGGGGGAAAGGTGCGGGAATGCACAAGGGACGTTGCCGGTACTGTCATAACTCCACCGAGCATGGGTGGTACGACTGCCCGCTTCGCCTGAGGAACGAGGCGGAGGATGCCAAGAAAAGGCGCACACCACACAGGACTCCACCACGCAGGCATGGTTCACGCGGGCGGAGGTGGCCGGCGATGAGCTTGAAGAATTCGCCATCGTTTTGTTTGCGGCCTACGCCACTTATTTATCGGGTGAGACTGTTTTGGTGATGTATTAACTTCACGGGAGGTAGACGACCATCCTTCACACGGACGAAAGAGGGAGTGCTCAAAGAGCGGCTCCCACAGCAAGGAGGGGCCCCGTGAATCATCGCGGTGCCCCCTATCAAACGGTTATCTTACCAGTCTGCGTGACACAAAATCATCCAGCACATGTATCCAACAGCAATGTTCGCAGACTCACGAACACCCTCCCTGGTTCTTCACGCAAGTGACTAACCATCAATTGGGCAAGAACGCCCCAGGATACATCAGAAAATACCAACATGGTAACATATGGAGGGGAAACCCGGCGTCCGGGCAAAACCCCTCAAGGAAAAACCCTTCCACCA